GTTTTGCATGCATAATACTCGTGCTCGTTCACTTGTTCCTTTTGATCCGGAAATTAAAAGAACAATCTACAGAAGACGAGTTGCTTCAAAATCTTTGAGCCCCAATCCATCAAGACAAGAGGTACAACAAGAATTTGAAAAAGAAAGCATGGGAGACAATCCAAGGGTTGCTTTGAAAGAGTTAGGGATTCCCGGTGCATATAGGTTTGAGAGTGGGATTGCACCACCTACAACACCCGCCAACAATTTTGAAATTCGACCGGCTATGATCACTTTGATCGAGAGAGGGAAAATTAGCGGAGCTAAGCATGAGAGCCCCCTAAAATAATCTCAAGGAATTTGAGAAATATTACAGCACAATAAAAGTCAAAGGTGTGAGAGCCAAGAGTTCATTCGCTTGAAGCTCTTTCCCTTTTCACTCATTGGAAGGGCCTTGGAGTGGTTGGATAAGGAGGTGAAGGCCAATTCATTGAGGACATGGGACGAGGTCACCAAGGAGTTCTTGTCTCAGTTCTATCGACAAAAGAAGACGGCAAAATCTAGAGCTCTTATCCAAAGCTTCAGCAAAAACCTAATGAGAGACTTTATGAGGCTTGGGAAAGGTATAAAGAGTACCAAAGAGAATGCCCTCATCATGGAATCCCAACCTATCAAATCATCAAAATCTTCTATGGAGGATTAAGTCCATAAGGCAAGTCGTGCTTAGATGCGGGGGCCAGTGGCCCTATTATGAATCGAACGGAAGAAGAGGTGGTGGACATTATTGAGGACGTGGTTAGGCATGACATGGATTGGCAAGATGGGGAGAGAGAATCTCCAAGTAAAGGAAGTGCAGTATATTCCATCGATCACCTTAATGCCATCAACAACCTCACTTCTCAAGTCTCAAACTTTGGGAAAGAGATGTCTTCGATTAAGGTCAAGTTGGAGAGTTCTACCTCATAAGCTCCAATTCTTCCCTCCCAATTCAAGGGGAGAGGTATATCTTCTAACCCTACTCCTCCTTCCTCTTCTAATAACATGCCTAGTGGATGCTTGTTTTGTGATGTGTGTGGTTCTTATGATCATGATGCATCTAGATGCACTCACTCTTTTTCGGATGTATATGATGACTTTAATGGTAACGAGAATGAGCATGTGAACTATGCGTCTAGTAACAGTTGATCACGGTCTGATAATCAAAGAGGTCAAGGTAATAAGAATTACCACAACCAAGGTAATTTTAACAATTATAACCAAGGTGGTGGTTATAGGAACCAAGGAAACCAAGGTTTCCGAGGTAACTATAACAACAAATGTTATAGTGGCCAAAATCAAAACCAAGACTTTGGTAATCATAACCGAAATTTTGGAAATCAAAACTAAGGATATGGTAACCAAAACCAAGCTAGAGGTAATTAGAAAAATCAAAATAAGGGCAATTTTCAAAACAATTCTCAAAGAGACCCTCCTCCCGATATTGTTCCGAAGACCCAAGCTCAAGGTGATGATTCCTAAGAACCACCCTCTTCTTCTAGGTCTAATTTGGAAGAGAACATTGAAAATCAAACCAAGTTCTTAAACACTCACATGGTGGTTAGTGATAAAAAGTTCAATGAGATGATGACCCACAACAAAATGCTTGAGGACCAAATCTCCCAACTAGCCAAAGCTTTGAAAGACCAAGCAAGCCCCTCTTCTTTACCTCCCCAAGACCTAAACCCTAAAAGATCCGTCAATACTATTGTCATAAGGAGGGGTAAGGTTCTTGAGGATAGTTTGCCTAGGAAGAGTAAGGCTAAGGAGAGCTCCAATGAGATTTTGGTTAAATATGAGGGAGATGGTGAATCCTTGAGTGATATAGTGGTTGAGAAACCTTGTGAGAAGAAGGAAGAGAAAAATTTGTGAAACCTAAGCTTCCCTACACTCGAAAGTTTTTAAGGCATAAATGGATGAGCAATTTGGGAAGTTCATTGAGATGCTTAAGCAACTTCATCTTTTCCTTCCCTTCATCAATGTTATCAACCAAATGCCAAACTATGATAAATTTCTCAAGGGCATTTTGAGTGGGAAAAGGACTTGTGATGTGGTTGAAATGTTGAACCTCACCGAGAATTATAGTGCTATCATCATGAACAAAATGCCACCTAAGTGAAAGATCCGGGAAACTTTTCTATCCCTTGTTCCATTTATACGATGCAAATTGATAATGCCTTGTGTGATCTAGGAGCTAGTGTTAGCCTTATACCATATTCGGTTTATCAAAGACTTGAGCTAGAGGAACTTTTGCCTACCAACATTACCTTGCAATTGGCCGATCGTTCGATTAAGTTTCCAAAGGGTAAGGTAGAGGATGTTCCTTTGAGGGTAGGAAAGTTTGTGATTCTGGTTGTTTTTGTGGTTCTTGAAATGGATGAAGATGCTAACATTTCAATAATACTTGGCAGACCTTTTCTTGCTACTTCGGGTGTTTTGATTGATGTGAAGAGTGCTAAGATACCACTTAAAGTTGGAGATGAGGTCATTGAATTTGATATGAATGATAGCATGAAATATCCATGTTCATCATTAGAAAATTTCATGATGATCAATTCTCTAGATCAAGTTGTGACTTCTATGCATGAGCACTTTCTCACTTCTAACGATGCTCTTGAGAATGTCCTGTTGAATAAGGGATGGATAGGTATCCCAAGCAAGGAGATGGAATTGTACGAAGACATGCTAGATGGAAGCATAGAGGAAGTTGATGAGCAAGTTTGCATGAGAATCACAAGCCAAGAAGCATTAGAAGTGGCCACAACAAAGGAAGGTAAAGGTGTTTCAATGGTAGAGCTCAAACCTCTACCATCAAACCTTAGTTATGAATTCTTAGGCCCTAACTTGACTTTTTCCGTGATTTTTAGCTCCTCCTTGAAAGAGAACCAAGCTCAAGAGTTATGTGGTGTGCTGAGAAAACACCAAGGTGCAATAGGCTATACCATTGATGATCTCAAGGGTATAAGCCCCGCCTTATGAATGCACCATATTACTCTTGAGGATGGTGCCTCACGGTGCATTGAAAGGCAACGAAAACTACACCCTCAAATGGAGGAGGTAATGAAGAAGGAAATCACCAATCTCCTTGATGCGAGAATCATCTTCCCCATCTTGAGCTCAAGGTGGGTTTCACCGGTGCATGTTGTGCCAAAGAAGGGAGGTATGACTGTAGTAGAGAATAAGAGAAGTGAGCTCATTCCTAATAGAACGGTCAGGGGATGGCGGATGTGCATAGACTATAAAAGTCTAAACACATCCACAAAGAAGGATCATTTTCCCTTCCTTCTATAGACCAAATGCTTGAGCGACTAACTAGGTATTAGTATTATTGCTTTCTTGACGATTACTCCGGGTTCTTCAGAATTCTCATTCACCCGGATGACTAAGAGAAAACATTTTTTACTTGCCCATATAGAACTTTTTCTTATAGGAGAATGCCTTTTAGGCTTTGCAATGCTCTCGCCACCTTCCAACATTTTATGATGTGCAGTTTTGGAGATATGTTGGAGGAAGAGATGGAGGTCTTTATGGATGACTTCTTGGTGGGCGGTACTTCCTTTGAAAATTGTCATGCAAATCTTGGTAGATGTTTGGCTCGTATTGAAAAGGTAAACTTGGTCTTGAATTGGGAAAAGTGCCTTTTCATGGTTGAGGAAGGAATAGTCCCTGACCATAAGATCTCACATAGGGGTATTGAGGTGGACAAAGAAAAGATTGAAATCATTGAAAAGCTACCACCTTTGGTTAATGTGAAGAGTGTGAGATCGTTCTTAGGGCATGCAGGGTTCTATAGGAGGTTCATCAAAGACTTTTCTCTCATTGAAAAGCCCCTCAACGATGTTCTCTAAAAATATGTCGAGTTTAATTTGATGATAGATGCTTGGAAGCATTCAATAAGTGAAAGGAATGGTGTCCTTCCAAAAAGTGTATTACTCTGATATAGGGTTCAGAATTATTACAGAGCTAATTCTTCAGTAAGGTTAAGTGATCGGAATGCCTAATGGAGGCCACTTCCGATCAGTAATATTAAGGTACAATTAATATTACAGCTTAATCTTAACTGAACCCTTCGGGTCGAACCCAATCGAACAACCGATCCGAGACGACGAATTAATCCGAAGGATTTAATGAGTCGACGAAGTTTTATGAATATAGACGTCGGATATCGAGCCTAGGGCGTCGAGACCGAGCGTCGCAAAATCACAATCAACAAGTACGAGCATAGCCGTAGCTAGGCTAGGCTAGCTCATCGCAAGCCTAGGCGCGCCATGCGTGCTAGGCGCAAGCCTAGGCACCATCGCAGCAGCATGGCTGCGCATATGCGTGCCTTCGCATGGCACTGCATCGCAGCATGCGTGCCTGGGTGCTAGGCACCATCGCAGGCCATACGCACCAAGCACAGCCATCGCAGTGCTGGGCACTGGCGCATGTGCGTGCATGCCTCGCACCATCGCAGGCCACACACCAAGCACAACACCCTTGTGCGTGTATGTGTGCGTAGGCACCATCGCAGCAGCAGCCTCACACAGCAGCACCATGTTGGGCCTTGTGTGCGTGTGCTTATGCCTAGGGGCCATCGCAAGCCATCGCAGCATCACAGCACCAAGCTTCGCATGCTTGTGCGTGTGGCTGGCGAGGCGATGCCCAACATGCGTTGCTCGCTAGCAGCACGCATGTTGGGAAGTGCGAAAGGGGCAGTGCGTGTGCGATGGCGAGAGAGGCAAGGGCCAGCGCTAGCAGCTAGCAGCGCCTAGCACTGGCACGTACCAGCAGCATAACACTACTACAAAAGGAGCAGTTTTTCGACGCTGTTGCTTCGACGCTAGGGCTTGGGCGTCAACATTAAATTATGATATCCGCGTTTCGTCGACGCTTTTTAGTGTCTAAAGTAATTTTAGATTGTTTTTAGCGTCGAGAACACTAACATGTGCCCCGCACGTGAACTGAATCAGGTGAACCCACAGATCAAAATACTGCCCAATGTCATAAAACCCCCCTTTCGTCATATTCTTAACCCTAACTATTGTTTTTTCCTTTCATTCGATCTGAATTTTACACAGATTCATGGAGTCATGGCTTAGATTCAGATCTTATTTCTCCTTGCGTCTCTCATCATTCTATCACAATAATTGATATATTTTGCCGAAAATAACTGTCTTCCTCTCAGATATGATGGTTTCCATTAAAAATTGATATGCGACAGCTATTGCTCTTGTTCTCCTCACAGGTTAAATTTTTACATCACTCTTTTTTGATTTTAACTTCTAATAGTACTTCTTTCAATTTTTGTGTGAGTTTTATTGATACTTGCAAGTTGCAATTACCCAATTTTTTTCGTTTCAAAACCCTAGGTCATAGATCTTGTTGAACTACTATTTCTTTAATTGAAACTCTATTGGATTCCAAAAGTTAAAATCTTTTTTATTATGGTATTAAAAACTTGACATTGAAATTCTTTGTTTATTAGAGTAAAAAAAAAAAAAATCAAATTACTCTTATTGGATAAGAGTCGAATGGTTAATGGGGTAAAGATTATATTGTGGAGCTGAAAGAAACTCCTGGAAAGAAGAGCTTGTATCGAACTAATGGTGAGATATTGATTGGTTTAATGTTTTCACACTGGTTTTAAATGAATTTGATGATAATGTTATGAAGTTGTTGGCAGGGCAATGCAGTTGGATGCTAATTAAGCACATCTGATCTTGACGGAGTATATTGGTCCTCAGTATGAAATAGAGTATACTGCTCCTCAATATGAAATAGAGACATGAGCTACGGTAATTTTACTCAAAACATGAGAATTATTAATCCATTATAGCTAGAAAAGTAATGAGATAATTAGAAGTTCAAAATTACAAAATTAAGGTGTGTTCTGTATTTGCTATTGATAGCACTAAATGGTTTTAAGTAAGGTTGCTATTAGTATTGTGATACCATGTTCAATGAGCTTTGTTTTTCTTACTATTGTTTTATAAATATTTGTTTTTTTTTATCAAGTTCTTAATTATCCTTGCTGTTGAGTGGTACGATGGTATTGTATTTGTATCATGTCTCTATCAACTTCCGGTATTATTGATTGGTAATATTTGTTTATCAAGTTCTTAATCCTTGTAGTGGAAAGTCTTAATGCATTTCTTGTCCCAATGCATTTTTACCAAAATAAAATGCATATATACTATATTGCCTCCTTGCTGAAGATTCATTCTATGGACATTTTCATGAGTAGAAAAGGAAGATAATGGAGGATATAAACCTCTTCATATATGTCTAATATATAATTATTTTTTCAACTAAGTTTGATTTTCTTCCTCGCCTTTTTCTTAGAATTTCAAAGGAAAGATAGAGTCTGCAATTTTGTTTATCAATTTCTCTAAATACTTCATCATGCCATCTTGCTGATGTGATTCTTAGAACTTATAAAAATTCTGGTCATTTCTCTCTCTTATTCCCTCTTTCTATTTCTCTCTCTTATTCCCTCTTTCAATACTTTGGGCAGCTGTTCTCGGCCTTAAGGTTGACGAGAAAATTCTGAAGAATCCATATATAAGGAAGGAGCTTGATACTCGTTTCCCCGTTTTATGTTTCTATCTTTCTCTCTCATATTTTTATTGAATTTTATTTATGTTTTCCTAGAGTACATAAGTTGTCTGAACTCTAATATTTATGAAGGTTTGCAACATATCGTTGCCTTGTCTAGTAATTCCTTTAGTTTTAAATCTTTAGCATCTAAAAAAGTAGAATGAAGAATTTGAAAACCATACTACGTGTTTTAAGACATAATTTGGGAATGCACAAGTTGAGTAAGATTTCTTTACGAATATATATTCTGGTATCTAATTTGGGCATGCACAAGAGATACCAAGCTGAATATTGGTTCCTGTATACATGTACAGTGGTATACTACGATAAGGTATATATTCTCCAAAGAAAGTTTAAAAGGTTAATGGCTGTTTTTTCCTCTTTGGATTGCTGAGCATTTTGTCACAATCTGAACTTTATTTTACCCCCCTGCAAGCAGCTTAAGAAACCATAATTGTGGCTTTCGACTAGACGTGTAACGAGAATGGCAAGAAGAAAAAAGGTACATCACCATCCTCTCTCTCTTTTTATCAGGGCTCTGCATATTCATCTATTATTAATATTCATTGCAGAAATCAAAACTTTAGAATTTGGCAAATGATGTCTTGTCTTCTGAGTGTATGTATGCCTTGATACTTTTGGTATGATCTTTACTCCATAATTAGTTATGAAAGTTGGTTGTGATTTTGGTTTGCTTAAATTATTAGGTGGAAAATATTTTTCAGAGATTATATTCTCTGTATAGTTAGTAATTTTGATTTACTATTGTATTAAGATTTGCTTGTTGATGTATTGATTGATGCATATGCTGAAATGTGTTTGCAGGATCAAAAAGATTATATACTAAGAAACGGTAGAAAAGGGCTGACAACTAACACTGCAATATTTCAAGGATGGAAGAAAGATATATCTTAGCTATTTAAACTTTTCAATCAGTGATTTGTAATTTGTTGCACTACAACTAGTCACGAATGAAGTATAAGTTGGAATTATATCTATTGTAATAGAAAACTCATTACTATGAGATATTGTACATATGCTATAATATATTTATATGAAATAAAAAATATTTGGCATAATCTTGTTGTACGTGTATCTTTTTGTTTTGGTAATATTAGAATGCTAGAAATAATCGTCGGTGAATAAAATACTGTATCTTATTTTGGTATTCTAGATATTTATTTACAGGATATTGACAAGAAAAAGCGTCCCCAAATTAGAAAATATGGACATGAAAAAGCATCGCCAAAATGTCAGATATCATATATATGAAAATCTGGACATAAAAAAGCGTCATCAATTTTAAGATTCTTGACCACAAAAGGTGTCGCCAAAGTTAAGAAAGTGCGCCAACTGTTGGAAATTGCGACGCTTTGTATAAAAATCTGTACAAAATAAAGCGTCGAGATTCGCGACGCTTTTTGATGTCAGCAAAATTCTCGACTCACTTTTTCTCGACGCTTTTTAAAAGCGTCTAGAAAGATTTTTGCGACGCTTTTCTGTGTCGAAGAAAAGGCTTAAAAGCGTCTCAAAAGCACGCTTTTTGTAGTAGTGTAAGCATCGCCTAGCGCCAGCACGCATATGCTGGCTGGGACGCGAGGCTGCTGGCTGGGCTAGCTGGCACTGCTAGCTGGCGTGCTAGCTGGCCGCCAGCCAAGCAGCCCTTGCTTGAGGCTGTTTTGGATGAGGGGACCATTGCTTGGAGCAATGGCTTGGGGATCAAGGCAATGGTCCCCCCCCAAGCCTTTGGTCCTCACCTAACTCTCTCTCTCCCCTTGACACTTGTTGCATTGTGATTGATTTAATTATTTATTTAATTTGGAATTAAATAAATTGTTGAATTTACCAACTCTCCCACATTAATGGGAGATTGGAAATCAAGGGTGCCTTTCCCTATAAATACCAAAGGCATGGGTATTGGGAAAGACACAACCTTGAGTGGAATTAAAAGGCAACTCTTGATTTGAGTAAACCTTGATTCGTAAAACCCATAGTTTTATTTGTCCGGGTCTCGACTAACCTTGGAGACTTAGGACGCTCGGGTCGGGTACGAGGGTACGATCCTGTTGGAGACCTCGTATTTTTGGGGTTCAAGTAAGAGCTCATAGTTGAGCGAAGCACGCGTCAAAGGTATAATCTTTTATCCTTTCTTGTGTTTTAATTATGTTTTGCTTGTTAATTGATTTATTATGGGGGCGGGTCTTGGCGGGTTTCTTTCCACGTAGTGTGGGTCACTACGAAGGCCAACAGTGGTATCGGAGCCACGCTCCTTTTAATTTTTGCAATTATTTATTAATTAAGGTGTTTTAAAGTAAGATTTAATTTCTGGTTTTACGTTTCTAATTAGATTAGAAGCTCGTTTTAATTAATTTTAAAACTCGTATTTTTATCGATTTGGCTGTTGAATCCAAATTTTGGCTCAAAAATAGTGATTTTTGGGTGGAATTGACATTCGGAAACAGATTCAACCCTATTAAGATCTGTCCATAAGCCAAATTCGAACCAGAAACCCAAGTTTTTGGGGTTTTTTCTTTTTTCGACGAAAATTTTAAATCTTTTTAAGCCTTGATTAATGCAAGCATTACAAGGTTAGATTAAGTGCATTATTGCATCCCTAATCTACTGCTATTTTAATTATCCTTGAGCATAATTATGGAGTTTTAATTAGTGCTTGAGTTGATATGCCTTTTTCACATAAACTTGATTTTTCACGATTTTGCAAATTAATTGCAATAATGTGTGAATGTGTAATTTTAAGTTCCCAAGTATGTTAAAGTTCTAATCTTTAAAGGTTTAAATGATTGGAACTCTAACCCTAAATTCCATATTGAACAAAGTTTGGATTTTTCATGTTTGGTTGATTAAAATCCATGAAGTTCAAATACTTGTGAGTAAAATTTTGATTAATCTTCATATTGGAAGATGTAATCTTGGTATTTTACACAAGTATGAAAGTTGGAAAATTTTATCATTGGATGGTTAATTTATTTTTCCAACTCCCATTTGTCAAATCCATTATTAATTTGCATATTGGCTAAATTAATTATGGACATAGCTCATTTAATTTTAAGCATAAAGACAGACCTAAATTTGTTCAAAAATAAATTTTTGGATGATTTAGGCTTGTGCACCACTAAAATTAAATTTATTTAAGTTAGACTTATTTTATTTTATTTTTCCTCAAATTGATTCTAAAAATGTAATATAGAATTAATTTATGCCACACATAAAACGGAATTAAAATTCCGAGTGAAATGCACGCAAATCGATGCTAAATCGCAAGCGTCACCAAGGCTAACCGGGTTGCCTAGCAGCCCATATGTAGGCTGGCTGTGGTGCGCGCATGGCTGAGCATCAATTGTGCGTGGCTGTGTGGCGAGGGGTGCTAAGGCTGGGCTTGGGGCAGTGACATTGGCTGCTGGTTGCTTAGGGCTCTGCTGGGCAGTGAGATAGCAAGCACCAGCCAGCCCCCACTTGCTGGCAGGCGCCAGCATGCGAGCAGGCATGTGTGGTGCTGGCCAGCGTAGTGTGCTGTGCTGGGCGCAACATGCTAGCACCAAGCGCCATCACAACCCTTGATGCTGCTGGTGCTGTGTGGCGTAGGGCTGCTGAAGATGCTTGTGCGTGCTACTGGGCAGCGAGGCAGCAAGCCCCAGCCAGCCAGCCCACTGCTGCCTAGCAGCCATGGTGCGCAATGCACCATGCTTGGGTGAGGCTTCGTTGCGTACTTTTGAGCTATGCAATTTTGTGAAAATTTCCCGTTTTAAATTATTTATGTAATTATTTTAATGAGGTTAGACCTCGATTTTTCCGGCTTTTGCAAAATTTTGATTTAAACAAATTATGGGTTATGCCGACTTAATTAATCGGATTAATTAAGTATGGATGCGGAATTTAGTGGGAGCTTAGTTAATAACGTGATCAATTTGCTTTTAGAAATAATGAATTAAACAACTTTGACTAGTTTTTAATTAGGTGCGTTAATTGGATTAACCACCTAAGTTAGTTACTAGTTTTGCGTGTTTAATTATGTATTTCGTAATTTGCATGGGCCATTCACAAATAGTGAATGGGTGAATGGAAGATTGTTTTTAAAACAGGTTATTGAAAATGGCAACTAGTGGGGCCCGACTAGGATAGAAAATACGGACTGCGTTCCGTTATGTATTTTTGTAAATATAAATACGGTCTGCGAACCGTTAAGTATTTTTGTACTATTAGATTAATCTTAGTTGTTCTAGCTAGTTTATTTATTTTGGCTAAGATGTCTCAAGACGGCGTTTCGATGAAGATGAGCCAAGATGAAGACCCATGGAAATTGAAGATTTCAAGGGGTCATGCTAGTTGCCAAATGCATCTATTTTTATGCTTTATATATATATTGTTGTTATATATGAATGTTAGATGCATGTCTAGGATTTCTATATGTTGCGACGATTAGTTAAGTTCACTTAAATCAAACCAACATAGAAACCCTAGGTCCCTTAATAATATTGAGCTAAAATTTGCCGGCCAAGAACAACACTTATTGAACTAATGCGCGTATGTGATGGGCTATGCCAAAGAGAGGCATCACTACTTCCCTAAGAACGTAAGGTATACTAGGTATACAAGTTGTCTTGGTTAAGCTCAACGATATCAGTAAGGAGTCCTTAGATATCGTGGCAAAAGAGATAAAATGTCAAGGATGCATTAGATGCGACATTTTATCAAACCGAGAGTAGCTTGGAGCTATTAGCAATTGGATTGCTTACCTTAAGATATTTAATGATTAAGACAAGCCAAAGCATGCCTAACCATTTCTTGATCTTTGGGATCTCAGAATCATTTTATTCTCGCCTAAAAGGGACAATTTTATAAATGCTTGGATAAAATGCTCAATAAGATTGAAAAAATGCATGAACGCTTTTAAAATTTCAACTTATTGATTTATGAATGGTTTTTCATTTCAAATTCTTTCAATTTTAGAACAATGTCTGCAAGTAACTCAAACAACAACCATGTGTGCACGGAACTCCCCGAAAAGTTAGCTATCAAGATTAACTTAACAAACCTTGAAGAATTGGAAGAGGAACTCAGGAAAACTCTCCGGAGTTGTTCCACGGAGTATGTTTTGGATACTTCCCTCCCAACCCTCTGTACCAAGAAACACTTGAGTGACAAAAATTATTGTGCATGGTCCAATGATTGCAAATTAGTGTCACAGCTCATGGCTAACTCCATCCCAGAAGAATGGAAAGAAAAACTTCCATTCTCTTTACCGGACTTATTCCTTGGAGGACTAAGGGATGTTGTATGTGTGAGATTCTCTAAGAGTTTCAACGACAACAATGATGGACTCTTGTTTGAAGTGACTAGGTCACTTACAGACATGAATGTGAAGCCATCGGATCAAGGTTGTCTTGCAAAAGAGAGGTACCATCTTTGGTCTACAGTCTGCAACACCAAGTTGAGACCGGGTATGCCCCTCCGACTCCACGTGGAAATGCAAGAATGACTAGGCTCTTCAAGCACATGGAAGTCCTCAGAATTCCATTAGAAGATGGAATGGCTAGTCATATTATGCTCACTTCACTCCACTCAAGATATGATGCATTAAGGGAATATATTTCTGAAAGAAAAGAGACACATTCTTTGATGAATGTGGTGGAGCTACTTCACCGAGCCAAATCATTTGGGGCAACCAAAAGACCATCAAGAAGGAGGGATTTCAAGGTCAAGGCGAAGATGCGTTGCTTCTATTGTGGTGGGAAAGGCCACTACAAAAGAGAATGCAAGCTCTTCAAGGAAGAAGAGGAGAGGAATGGAGCATCTGCCTCAGGTATCTTCCTAAACACTTGTGAATTAAGCTTACCATAGGTATTGGATACCAAGTATGATTCAGTTTATGTTGCCTTTTCAGGGACCAAGTGAGAAGCTTATCAAGTGTTGGTGCATGAACAAGTAGATGACGAAGATGGTTTTTCGGTCGTGCTTGCATGCACTATTTTGTCTATGACATGTAATTAAAGTAATCTTAGTTTTTCATGCCTTTTGAACATACTATGATCTATGGTGTTGAAAACCTAGG